TTTAGCTACTTGCTGTTACACTTCCTGGTGATTACACCCATCTTCCATTTTCTGTACAAATTCCTTATAACTATTAGCTGAGTCAAAACCTTCGCAAGCATCCAAAATGATTTCTTAACCTATCCATTATTATTTTTTGACTGTAATTGCATGTGATTATACTTCCAGTATTTATTTTTGAGAATTTCTCAACCTTCCTGCACTCCCTTTGACTGGAGGGTTTCCATCTTTTGAATAATTCAATTTCATAGCTTTATTGACATCTTCATATTATTTAGCCTTGTTCTGCTACCTTGTTGTCCCAGATAAATGTTTGTTCTTATGGCCTGCTTTGCATGTTTGAAAGTGTGAAAGTTCTTCAGGTTCAGTTTACAAAGAACTCTTCATCATGCAGAATCCTGCAAAACCTGAACACATATTCCTAAGCCTTCATAAATTAGCCTATTACATAACACCAACAATTGTGTTTACTTTTTCTTCGGACAAATAGCAATCAGAACTACGTGAACCACCTTTTGAAATGGCAGTGGGGTCAAAGCTACCCTTGGATATGGTATTACAGGTAGTCCTCACTTAGCAACCGCAGTTAGGACTGGCAACTCAATTGCGGTCACTAAGCGAAAAATCACATGACCACGACTTAAGGTTTTACTTCCGCCTTCTATATTGACTCTGCTTGTCACAAGCCAGTTGTGAAGCAGGCGAATGACAATATGTGACTGTGGGACACTGCAACAGTCATAAATGCAAGTATTGATCATGTGCTTTCAAGAGATTCATAAGAAAGCCAGTGTAGCTTCATCTTTGTTGTCATTTTTATTGGCAAGCAAAAATTGTAAACAGAGATTAAAGACACAGTTTATGATGGCCAGGTGAATCACTAGAGCAGGAACAGCCAACATAATCTACAGTTAAGACAATTCCTGTAATTCTTTGCTATCGGCTATGCTGACAAGGGCTCACGAGAGTTGATTTTAAAAAAACCCTAAAACCTGGGAGCACCAAGTTGCCTATTCCTGCATCTGAGATTTTGGCTCTTAAAATGAGATTCCTTTTTTAAAAATATTTTTTTTATTAAAAGTTTTACAAAGCACGTAAAAACTAACACAAACTAATGAAGAGTAGAAACAGTACAGAAGAAAGGAAAGAAGAAAGAGAGAAAGCAAAAGTGCAGAAAAAATTTAAAAAATGAAAACAGAAAGCAGCTTCTGATTTCCTTTGCAGCAAATATAAGTACAATTGCAAAGTTATCTCTTACTCTATGATTACAGAAAAAGCTCATTTTTTATATTATCCTTTTTTTTTTTCTAATCATCAAAATCATGTGCATTTTTCCTGTTTCATGCAAAAAAGTCTATAAGAGGTTTCCAGTCAACCATAAATGTAGATATTGCTTTTTCT